TTCTTCCCTGTGTAACTCTGGGCTCCTCCCTTAACCTCTCTGAATGCTGAATTCTCAGAAAAACCCGAGCCCCACACTACAAGGGGAGCTGAGTCCTGGGGCCTAAGCTGTGTGGGGCAGGACTGGAACCCGCATTAGGTACTCCCTGCCTCTCAGGCGCTTTCAGGTATTTGATTTCTTTTTGGTTGTGTGTTCTTCTTGTCACATTATTTTGCAAACCTGTTTCCTTACCTGTAAAAGGGGTTGCAGTTGCCTGCTCACCCTTCGCAGTGTTGGTGCCGAAGATCCTGAAAGGCTCACTCTGCCTGCCCGGTCCAGCCCCAACAGGCGGCCAGGCCTCCTTGGCCCTCACAGTCAGAAACAGTGCCTGGACATGACCTTACTTTGTCCCAGCAGCTCTGTTCTCTGATCCTTTGTGAGCCAGGCCCCCAGGGCCACAGAGGTCTGGCCTTGCTCCCCGCAGAGCCCTGCATGCCAGGAGGCCCATGGCCAGCTCAGAAGGGGTCAGTGAATGAATGAGTCCCTCCACCCCAGAACCTGGCCCCCAGCCGGTCTGAGCAGTCAGGCCACTGTCTTTCTTTTCCCTCTTCCCAAAGTGTCCTCATTCAAATGCCTCCTTCATGGCCACTGTTTCCCAGAGGCTGAGGACAGTAGGAGACGTCTGCTGCCCGGTAGCCCTCACCTACCTCCTAAGCCCCTTTGGTATGGAGGTGCTGGCACCAGCCCTCCCCCAGCCTTCGGGCAGAGGTCATGATGATAACACCTTGCATTCTTAGGTGCTTCTTAGCATTTCAAAGTGACTTCAGATCTCTTATCTCTACAAGAGCCCAGCCAGGAGAGTTCTGATTACACTCCTTCACAGATTAGCGCCAGTGCCAGCCCTGGGCTCCTGCCCTCAGTCCACACCCTGCCTGAGTGCCTGGGTTCCCTGCTTAGGTCAGTGCCTGGCAGTAGATGGGTACTGTATGGTGCCCAAGTGCTAGGGCTAGGAGACAGGGAAAGGCCAGACAAGTGGACTTTGCATAGGCTTCTGCAAACAGCCTTCGATGGAGAAAAGGATATCGATTCAGCAATCCAGGCCCAGCAGAAAGAGAAGTTTCTGAAAAGGGGAGAAGCCCAGAGAAGGTTGCTCACCGCAGGGAGAAGCTCCGAGAGCCCAGGAGAAATGAGCAGGGACCCCAGGTCTTCTGAGCCCCAAACCTGGCCCTCTGGAGCTGGAAGGAGGCTCAGACACAATGCAGCCTCCAGGGTCTGCCACCTCCAAAGTTCACATTGCAGTCTTTATGAGGCTAGTTCTGCGGGGCCCCCTCTCCCAAGATTCAGATTCAGGGTTTTTTTTGTTTTGTTTTTAAGATAGAGAAGAAAGAAAGAGAAAGAGAATTTTTTTAATATTTATTTTTCAGTTTTTGGTGGATACAACATCTTTATTTTATTTGTATGTGGTGCTGAAGATCGAACCCAGCGCCCCGCGCATGCCAGGCGAGCGTGCTACCGTTTGAGCCACATCCCCAGCCCAGAGAGAGATTCAGTTTTATTGGGGAGGCTGAGGAAGAGTTCCCCAGCCTGGTCTCTGAAGCTGCTGAAAGCTGATGCCCTGCTCTGAGCCACAGGAAGTATGGTGCCCACTCCTACCTGAGGGGAGCAGGGAACAGACAGCTGGCCGCAGGGTCCTGCAGCCCTGCCCACTGGGGCCCAGGTATGTGGTCTTGGGCAAGTCCTGTCCCCGGTCTTTGGACACATTTGTGTATAATGGAGAACCGCACCTGCTCAGATGTGAGGGACTAATGAGGCCCATGTATGGCGACCACTGGCTCCTCCCGTGTCTCTCTAGGAGAGCCGGGATTTGGAGTGGGGAGCTCAGTGCACCTGCTTTTGCTGCTTAGGCAACTTGTTCTGGTTTGAAGGTGTATGTTGGGGGTTGGGGGGCTGATGGAGCTGGCTAGGTTGAGCAGCCACTAGTCCCCACCCCAGTCCTTGGCAGCCCCCATCCCACCAACCCAGGCACTCCAGGGGTGTGTCCTTTGAAATGTCCAAAGCTCCAAATGGGTGGACATATGGTGGTTTTGTCATCCTGGGTTTTCTTCCAAAAACCTTCCCCTGGCTGCTTTAGCGCGCCATAGGGGCTCCCACGCTCGCCCAGCTGCAGCCCCATGTGGTTTTGCAATTAATGGTCCCTCTGGGTGCACAGGAAGCCCAGCCCTGAGCCCCCTTGGCCACCACCCCTTCTGGCCCATGGGCGCCACCAAGTCTGAGCTGCTTCAGGGAAGGGTGGGACCCCTTGTTTTGTTCCAAGTGTTGGGTGGGGCACTGCGCTCCCCAGACTCCACCCTCCCTCCTCCCCTATAACTGCCCCAGGTATTCAGCAGAGGAGGCCACTGAAGGTGGACATCCTGGGGACTCTGCCTCCATGAGCATTTGGAGTCTGAGGAAACAGGCTCAGGAGGCAAAAGCCCTGGCCCCGCCCCAGAGTGACACAGCTGGGACTCAAATACAGGCTGTCACCCAGGCTGCCCTCTAAATGCTGCTTGGCTTTTTAAGATTTTTGTTATTAGTTTTTAATTTTTTGTAGAGCTGGGCATGAAACCCAGAGTTCCATGCATGCTAGGGAAGTGCTCTGCCACCGAGCCCCAGCCCTAGCCCTAGCCCTGGCAGTGACTTCAAACACAGCAGGTATGGTGGCTGGGTGTCCTCTCACCAGCTGGCCTTGGACAAGTCCTATGACCAGAATAATTGAGATAAAAACAGGGCCCAGGGGTGGATTTGTAGTTTTTTGGGGTGTTTTAAGGAGAAGAAATGTTTGTTATGAATGAAATTGTAGAAGGAACCTCACCAGACCAAACAGCCATTGTGGAGGGCAGTGGTAAAGCCCTTGGCCCCTGGGTCCTGGGCTCTGAGGCGCTGCATGGGTAGGACAGTGGGGTGGTGACAGATTGTTGCAGAGGTCTCTTATTCTAGGGCTCAGGAAGTGAGAGCTTCCTTTGCCCCAGCACAGCCTCCCAAGAGGGTCTTCCCACCAGGATCCTGGCTGCGAAGGAACTGGGAAGGAGTCGTGGGATGGGGGGTGGGTCACCAGAAGGGTGGCCACACCCTGATCCACATCCACTGGCCCTTCCTGAACTCCACTCTCAGCCTAAAGAGGACCTCAATCTATGCAACCCGAACCAGGCCTGGGAGCTCTGGGGCAGCCATGGGGTGGGGCAGACGCTATCTTTGTCCTTCCTTCAAGGCTCAGCTCACTTCTTGGCAGCCTCTGGGGGTTCACTGCAGTGGGGGGGCGGGTGTGTGCTGAGAGTGGACATTGGACGTGCTGCAGAGCCCCGTGGATACAGTGGCCCAATGGAAGAGGGCAGGCCTGGCCATTCCCCAACTCACATTCCAGGAGAGCTCTTGGGGTCTGTTTTCTTTGACTCTTGACAGCTTAATCCACTTCCAAGCCCTGGGTGGGAGAGGGGGACCACAGCCTTTCATCTGGGCTTCTGGAGCCTGAGAATAGCACAGTCAGGAGTGGGCAGGTGGGAGCATTTTTTTTTTTTTTGTACTGGGAATTGAACCCAGGAGGGCACTTTACCATGGAGTTGCCCTCTCAGTCCTATTTATTTATTTAGGGTACTAAGGATTTAACTCATGAGTATTTTACCACTGAGCTATACCCCCCAGCTTTTCAAATTATTATTTGGGTACTGGGGATTGAACCCAGGGGTGCTTAACCACAGGGCCACATCCCCTGCCCTTTTTATGTTTTATTTTGAGACAGGGGCTCACTGAGTGCTTAGGGCCTATCAAGTTGCTGAGGCTGGCCTTTAACTCGCGAGCCTCCTGCCTCAGCCTCTGTAAAGGGAACTTTCAATGGGAAACAGAAAAAACAGTGTGGAGGGCTGAGGATGTGGCTCAAGCGGTAGCACGCTCGCCTGGCATGCATGCGGCCTGGGTTTGATCCTCAGCACCACATACAAACAAAGATGTTGTGTCCACCTAAAAATAATAAATATTAAAAAATTCTCTCTCTTAAAAAAAAAATGTTAAAAAAAAAAACAAAACAGCGTGGAGCTGGAGAGAACTGTCTGAACCTGCTGTGGAAGCCGAATGTCTTGGGCTCTTGTGCTGTGAAGGGGGAAGGCCCTCCCTGGATTCTGAAGGTTTAGGAGAACCTAGCTCATGGTGAACCTACACAGGAGGTGACTGAGTGACATGGGAGGTCTAGCAAGCCTGGGGCACTTTGACTCAGAGCTGGGACAGATGGGGTATAGCGGCTGGACCCCAGGCACATCCTCAACCCTCCAGATAAACACCTGTTTACTCTGTCCTGGGCCATGTTCACCTGGAGCAGTCTCTCCCCAGTCGCACCTCCAGTCTGCACCCTCCTGGGGCATGGTCACTGCCGATTTGTCACCCTTTCCTTTGCTGGTACAAACAGGCCTTCTATCTGTGACATCAGCTGGCCCTTCTGGCCCCACCCAGAGCTGTGTGGATTGTCTGCTTGTCTGCCCTGAGCCGCCTTCCCTGTCTTTAAACAGCCCTCAGGGTGAGCATGGAGCCAGGCTGGGGCTGGAGCCCAGAAACCCCTGTTTACCGAACCCCTCCAGGTGCCAAGGGCCCCAAGGGCCCCACTGTCTGTCTCTGAGGCGGAGCCCAGCGTGAAGTGATGCTGTGAAGGTGGCGCGCAGAGGGGCCCACCTGGCCCAGGTCCCTGGCTTTGCCACCTGTCAGCCCCACCAGGATAAGTTCCTCAAGCTCAGCCCCAGCCAACAGGGAAGCAGGCCTCATCTCCTCCCCAAGCCCCTTTCCCTACTCTCGTCTGCAGGACCCTGTTAACAGGAGGCGGCATTTTCTATAGTTAGAGGACTGGGCAGCGGTGGCCCTCTCGCCCTGGCAGGCTGCCCAACCTGTCCCTGCCGGAGTCTTGGTCCCCCAAATGCTCTGCCAGTGGCCCCGGGGTCCCGAGTGGGAGGAGTCTGGGGCTCTTGGCCCTGGAAGAGACAACTGAGCACCAGGAGCCAGCGTCGGCACAATGAAAACTTTCTTTAATGCAAGGAAAACAGTCTCCAGTCTGACACGTGCCCCCAGGTGAGTGTGAACAAGTGCCCTTACCCAGAGAATGCCAGCGGGGCAGTGAGGGCGCTCCTCACCCATCCTCACCTGATACCATACAGGATGAAAGGCAGGCCAGGGCAGTGGGGGACAGGCCAGCAGCAGCACTACGGTGGGCAAGCGGCTCCCTGAAGCCCACCTGAGCACAGGAGGCTGCTCCACCTGCCCTAGCCAGCGAGAGCATCCAGGTCCCCAGGTCCCCAGGTCCCCAAGGCAGCACAGAGTAAGGTGTCTGCACTGGCTGCCTGCTGGCTCTGGTTTTATTGCTCATTCTGGGGCTGTGGGGTCCATCTGAGGAGATCCAGGTCCTGTGTGGCCCCCTTTGCTCAGGGGGAGGGGGAAGGTAGGAAAGGGAGAGGAAAACGGGGTGAAGGGGCTGGGTTTTCCCCTGGTCCCTGCTGCCTGGACAGGAGGCCAGAGCCGCAGGCTTCCTTTCACAGCCCCAAACCACACCAGGTCACAGGGATCCTCCACCCACCTCAAGAAGAGTGCCAGGAAGCTCCAGCAGGCCAGAGAGCGAGCCAGGGCCACAGTTCAGACATCTCTGGGCCAGGCCTGGGACGGCCGCCCCTCCTGGGCCAGAAAGCAAACCTGGGCCATGAAAGGTGGCTCTGACCTACTCCACACCCCTAATGGCTCTTGGGTGAAGCTGCCCCAAAGCTGGACTGTGGGCAAGAGAGACAAAAGTCCCAGCTTTTGAACTAGTTATGTGGAAGTTTCTCGAAAACCTGGTCAAGTATGAAAGGTGTCCCTTTATAGAACAAGACCTAGCTTACGTGTTCCTGGAAGGCGCTCACTCCTCCCTGCAGCCCCCTAAAACAACAGAGGCGGCTGGGCTTTGCACCTGTGGCCGCCACACTGTAGGGCTGTTGGATTGGGGGTGTGAGGGGCAGGGGTGGGGCATGGGCACTGGGAGCCCAGGCTGTGCAGGCCAGGCGGGGAGAAACTAGACTGGCTCACCCCAGGAGCACGGGCTTGGGGCAGAGCCGCTGCTCGAGGCAGTCCCCAGTCTGGAAACACAGGGAACTGGGGCTCCTGTCTATTCGGCGGCCCCTGGTGGCAGCTGCCAGACCATGAGCTGAGGCGGGCCAGGCGGCCCAGCACCCTGGGGTCAGCTGCCATGGCGGCTAGCCAGGGCAAGAGTAAAGGCTGGGACGGAAGAGAAGGTGTGTGTGCATGGGCTGTCGGACAGAGGAGGAGGCAAGAAAGAAGGCTGCCTCTAACGTTATATATTAAAAATATCCATAGTTCTTGTGCACAAAATTCCATCATTCACATCCGAGCGTCACCCCGCCTCCCCCAACGGGCCCAGGAACAGCCTTAAAGAAAGATGGTGGTCTTCCTGTTTGAGAACTGAGGAAACACCGCTCAGTCTTTATGGACCTTGAAAGGTGGTGACCCTTCCCCTCCCCCAATCTCTGCCTCCCAGGCCCCGCCCACCTGGGCAGGCACAGAGGGTGGGCAGGACATCCGGGTGGCCCTGCATGGCCAGGGCGGTCACTCATGCCTGCGCTTGGAGGGCGGGACGAGGTGCGGGGGCAGGTCAGCGGGCAGCTCGTGGCCCTCCAGCTTGACCTTGATGAGGTGGTTGGCCAGGGCGAACTCCTCGTCGTCCAGCAGCCCGTCCTTGTCCACGTCGGCCAGCTTCCAGATCTTCCCCAGCACCGTGTTGGGTAGCTTGGACTTCACCATCTCCTTCTTGGCGTTGGCTCCTGTGATCTTGCCATTGACAGGTGACAGTGTGTAGAAGATCTCATCGTAGGTGGGCTTGTCCTTGCCCACTACCCACTCAACGTCGTCGATGCCCTCACCGGCCCCCTCGCCATAGCCGTGCCCAAACGGCCCGTTCATGGTGCCATCGAAGGCACCGCCCTTCACGGCCTGGGAGGGCATCAGGGACTCTTCCTGGCGCACCATCACCATCAGTCGAGCAATGTCGTTGGCAAGCATGTCGTCCACTGTGTCCAGCAGCTTGGGCTTCAAGGCCTGGAACTTGCTGAAGTCCTGGGTCTGCAGTAGTTCCTAGGGTGGAGGAGAAAGGAGAGGGCTGGGTGGGGCAGCGGCCCTGGCTTCACAAGGAGACAGACCAGGTTTGGGGGCTGGGGTGTAGCTCAGGGTACAGCGCTTGCCTAGCGCGTGTGAAGCCCTGGGTTCTGAACCCAGAACCGCAAAAACAAAACAAATACAAAGGAGGCAACCAGTTCCTCGCTGACCGTCCAGCGCTGTGAGCCCTGGCTCGGCAGCACCCTCCAGGAGTCAGACAGGATGCTCAAGGGCCCCACCCCCTGCTGAGTCACCACATTCCCCTCCTTGGTGTCACAATCTGGGTCAACCCTGACTCAGGTGGGGTGCAGGTGACTAACCCAGCTGTGTCCGTCTGGGGAAGCACTACCCCCTGCAGCCAGGATTCCCTCCAGAGCCAGCACCCGATGCCCTGGCCTTTCTCGGGGCGGCCATACCTGCATCTTGCGGAGGCTCGGGAAGTCTCCGGGGGAGATCTGATGCTCCCGCTCAATCTTCTGGTAGATCTCACCCAGGTTGTTCACCAGTTCCTTCTTCTTGCTCTCTTTACCAAAGACGTTGGGCATCTCCTTCTTGAGGGAGCTGATGATGTAGGCATGGACCTGGGTGGGCAGAAGGGCTGGGCGTCAGGGGCTTGCTTGGCATGTGCCCTGGCTGCCCAAGAGCCTTCAGGAATGCAGCCAGGTGCCCACTGCTCACTGCCTGGGGGCAGGAAGGCAGAGGGGCGGGGGTCACACTCAAAGCTGCTGTTCCACCATAGGATTCCTGGGTCTAGGGATGGACACATTTTGGCAAGAGGCACAACCCCTCCCTGCCATGGGGACAGAGGAAAGGAGGGTGCACTTGCAACAGAAGGCAGATGACGTCCTGCACAAGTCATGATGACAAGTGTTGCCTGTCAACAAGAGAAGGCCACCAGCTCAGCACTGAGAGGCGCCACGAGGCACTGCACACCCTCCCCTGAACCTCGGGCCAGGAGAACTCAGTCTCTTCCAGTGAGCTCAGAGCACCTGGAAGCCTGGCCCAGGAGCAAGGTGCTCAAGGTGCTGGGGGCAGAGGCGGGCATGTAATGGGGCAGCGGAGGGTGTCCCAGGCCCCCGTTCTGCCTGTTTCTCTTTGGCCTCAGCTGCCAAGGCAGGGGAGGCGAGCGCTCCCTGCAGAGCCAGGCAGTGGGGTGGGGTGCGGTGGGTGTCCCTGCCTACAGCCTCAAATCTGTGCTGTGCTCAGACGTTCCCAAGCTCCAATGCAGTCCCAGCTCTGCTCTGCGCACCACCAGCCTCGGGATGACTGAGGACTAGAAGGACCCACGAAGGACCCACAAAGGCTTTCTCCAGCTGCTGCGAGGTTCTGCTCAGCTTCAAGCCTTGCTTACACATTTCCCAATTAAGGGCGGCCACCTTTCATCTGCCGCCTGCTCCAGGCCGGTTGCACTGGTGCCCCCACCAAGAGCAGCCCAGCCCTCAAATCGCTCAGCCCTGCCAAGTGACGTCCAGTCACAGAGGGCTGCTGCTGGCGGCCGCTCCCCTCCTGTGGCCATTCCAGCCCATCCAGTGCACCCCACTCAGTCCCAGTGGCAGCTCCCCCAGCTCTGGGGCTGGCATCCGGGATCTCCCAGGGATGCTGTAGCAGGTGGGTCACAGCCACAGACACCACTCTCCCAGCACAGGCTAGCGCTAGTCCCCAGGAAAAGGAAGCAGCCACAAAACAGCAGGTGTAGGACAAAACTAGAGACCCCGGGGCTTTCCAGGCTTATGACTAGACAGTTACAGGCCATCTCTGAGGGCAGGGAGGCCGGCCTGCCCTGTTCTGCCTCTCGCCGATGGAGGCTGAGCAGGCCGAGGCTAGGGCCACTCTCTGCAGCCTGGGGGAGAGTAGGGTCAGGGCCGCCCCTTAGCTCAGGCTCTTTTTGGTCCTTTGAGACCACAGGCTCCCATCTCAGAGCCAGCTCTATTCACGGGGAGTCCTGGATATCTAGAAAAATGAAGAGCCCTGTACCCTCCCCAGAGCAAGCTTCTGACAAGTGCTCACTGGGGACACCAATTCTGAGCTGAGCATGGTGGCCTCACTTAGAATCCCAGCAATTTGGGAAGCTGAAGCAAGAGGACTGAAAGTTCGAGGCCAGCCTGGGCAACCTGGTGAGACCCTGTCTCAGAAAAAAAATATATTAAAAGGTCTGGATATGTAGCTCAGTGGCAGAGGGCTCCTGGATTCAACCCTCAATGTTACCAAAAAAAAAATCAGACATCCTAAAGTGACACCTTCTGCTCTGTGCCTGAAGGATTCACTGGCGTGCTGACGGGGTTTCCTAGCCTCCACTACCCCAGACTCTTACTCAAGCACTTGGCCAGGCACCCAGATCCCAAAAGCTCAAGTGACACAGATGTTGTGTCAGGTGCAACGGGCTCTGAGCTCCTCTGGAGGGTCAGGATGGTTTGCAGGACCTGCGTAGCTGCTGCCGCCTCCCGGGGTGTGGGCTTAAGCACTGGTGCTCTCTCTGGGCTGAAGGCCAGTGCCTATCTCTTCACTAGCTACCCCTTGTCTCCTGGACAACAGCTCCCACCTCAGGCCACCCCATGGCCCTCTGTCCCCTGGGATGGCTCCCAGCTGTGGCCACGCAGCCCCCAGCCTACCTGTAACAGCACAGATGCTTGATGCTTGTTTTCATTTGTGCCTTGTTTTCCTTACAAGGCCACCAAGGGCTGGCCGGGGGCTGGGTGCCGTCCCTACTACACCCCCAGTACCACCACCAGGCTGCGCACTTTAATGCACAACGAAGCCTGAGGGGCAGCTGTGGAGGCCTGAGCTACGTACAGCACACTCCATTTCCGGGGCACCTCCTTTCTTCTGTGGTAACTTCCTGTTTCCATGTTGAACACACATTCAGAGTTTGACACAGGGAGGCACAACCCTGGGCTACACCACAGGGCCACAGAGCAGTGGCTTGTGACACAGGAAGAGCAACACTGGTCTGGCTCTGCAGACAGCTGGGCTGCGTCTCAGGCAAACCTCCAGCCCCAGAGCCCCGGGCCCCTTGGGCCCCACCTGATGCTGTGCCCAGCCCCTTGCCCCAGGGTCTACCTTGGCCAGCCTGGCCCGCTTGATCAGGTCATTGAGCTTCCTGAGGGCAGCGTTTCGGGGCAGAGACTGGATGTCTTTGAAGAGGTCCTGCTCCTCGGCCTCGAAGAGCTTTCGGTTGTCAGGGATGAGCAGCGGGTGGGACCAGAAAGAACCAATGTAGACGCGGACCACCTCGGGGGTGTTGATGATCTTGCCCAGGGACCACATGAGGGCCCCGTACACCCGCATCAGCTGCTGCGTCTCGATCTGGTCGGCCTTGTTCAGTACCACGCGGATCTTGTCCTCGTGGTTCTTGAGTGCCTTAATGACCTCAGAGAACTCGTCGGAGATGTCCAGCTTGTGGGCATCGAAGAGCAGGATGATGCGGTCCACCCGCTCAGCGAACCACTCCAGGACCGCAGCAAAGTCGTAACCTGGGGGAAAGAGGGGTGAGGTCGGGGAGCAAGGGCCCAGGCTGCCCTGTTGGCTCTTGGCCCTAACTTGGCATGGGACTGCCATACCCGGGGGTGCTCTTCAAGTCCCCAGAATGCAGGTATCTGAGCAGCACCACTGCCTAGGACAGGGTCGCTGGGTCTCCCCTACTTCGGCACCACATGGCCATACTCTTCTTACACGCGGCACCTGGTGTGGATAGGTGCTCAAGCACAGGAAGCCACCCAGCCTGTTCTAAAGTGGGTCACGTGAGGGCAAGATGACCCCAGCAATGTGGCTTTGCACAGTAGGGCAGGAGAGATGGACCCAGGTGCTGCCGCCTGCCAACTGTGTGCCCACCAGCAGTGCCTGCAGTCTAGTGGCCACCTGTTCAGTGCTTATGTGCCAGGCTCCCTATTTTGCAAGAATCTCTCTTATTTTCTGCAACAGGGGCTGGCAAACTACAGCTCAGAGACTACACAAGCCCCCCCACACCTGCTGTGTAAACAGCGCCAGGGAAACAGCCACACTCATCTGTGTGTCCAGGGCCGCTTTTGTCCACAACAGCAGAGCTCGGTTGTGACAGAAATCGTGAAGTCTGCAGAGCTGGTAATATTGACTTTCTGACCCTTCCAGAAAGTTTGCTGACCTCTGCTCTACATCGAGCCCACGGAGTGCTGCAAACCACTTCCCTTTGTAGGTGTCAAATACTTCTCCCCCACCCCCACCCCTGCGGCACAGGGGAGGGAACCCAGGGCCTCACACACACCAGGCAAGTGCTCTGCCTCTGAACTGCACCGCAGCCCTCTGAAGCATGTCTCTGTGACCAAGTGACTCTCCCAGACCAGCTCCAGCACTGAACCCTATTTTATGCTGTTTCTCACCAACCAATTAAGGTCCAATCAAACTCAACCAATTAAAATGACTTGTGCCATCTGACAGACTAACTGGAATTCTGCCACTTATAACAAAACTCTCTATTTTAAGCTGGATTCATGGCTTCCAGGTTAAGCCTGCATTTTCCATCCTTCGTTGCAACAGAAATAAGAAAAGGTGTAAGAGCCCTTTTGGTTTTCTCCCTGGGGACTGGGATACAGATGTAATGGTAGGAGCAGAGTAGACACTTTGAGTTCAAAGATGGAAGCTGTGTGTTCCCGGTGGCTGGGACTATTATTTTTCACATAAACTCCTGGGTATCTGACTTGGGCCATTCTGGAGTCTCCGCAATAGTGTTTTTAACTAGTATCTTATCTGACAACTGTGGCTCTTTAAAATCTTTCCACTGATCCCAGAAGTGAAAATTTGCTTCTCGCCTTTTAGGAACACTATGAGAAAGGCGGGTTGTGTATGGCAGCAGCCTAGAGTCCCCGGGGAATTTGGCATAGCCCACAAGATGCCGGTCCTTCTCCTTGTTTTGCACCTGTGCCCAAGCCACCACAGACGTAGGCCAGCCCTCTAAGAACCACAAAGCACTTCCCAGAGAGCAGTCACAAACTCCTGCGAAGAAACCAGAGAAGCCCTTCCCGCAGATGCTCTATAGGAGGGGGCATGCCTGGGGCCCGCCCAGACAGCCTGCACCTGGCATTCCCCGTGAAGACTGCATGGTGCCCCCAACCACTGGTCTGACATGCATTCTGCAGACAAGAGGGACAGAAAGATGGCAGGGGGAGGGGAGCTCACAGAAAAGGACAACCGTCCAAGGAATGTGGATGTGGCCCTCTCAGGCCTGCTCAGTGCTGCATGGCAGCCAGCTCAGGCCTTTGTGTTCCCCATCCTGCCAGCCCTCCCAGGCTGGAGGCAAGTCCCCAGCCCGGCTGCTGGAGAGACTGTGGCTCCCAAGGCGCTAGGCTACAGGTTTGCCACCGCGGGGCTGCCAGGGTGCGATTCCACTCCCTAAGACAACAATGTTCATGTTGCCAGGCCCCAGGTCAAGTGCGCTTTAAGGGTTGCTGTGCCTCTCCCAATGCTGGGACAGCCAGAAAGGACACAGTCTCTGAAATAAGGTAGTTCTGGACTCAGCTCCCGGCTCTAGCCACTGACTGGTGACTTCATTTCTGAGTTTTACTGTATCTGCATGATTTCTCTCTAGGCCCTACAGGCAGGATTAAATGAGGTAATGGGAGGGCCCCCCACAGGGACCTAGCAGGAAATGGAACAACTGGGGGAGGGGGTGTGGAGTTCCCTGGGAACAAGGGACTGAGGGGCCTGGAATTCCATCACTGGTCAGGAACTCAGAGCTACCAGTGTTTGGCCTGACTTGGAGGTCAGAGGCCAGACTCCTTGAGGCAAGTCACCAAAATGTAAAGAAAATCCCAGATCCACCTCTTTAGTGACAGCATGGTTGCGGGGGGCGGGGGGCTCCCCAGAGCTGTGCTTTGCAACTCTTTGCTGCTGCAGCACCAAAGGGACACGGCATGCTGACCAGAGGACAGGGACACGGCATGCTGACCAGAAGGCAACTCTTCCCCAGGCAGAGGTGTGCAGTAGCTGGGGCTGAGCTTCGGTCTGGGCAGGGGAACCCCATCTGCTTCCCAGGACTCCAGCCAACAATAGCCAGGGCAGCAGAATGCCCAGGTTCAACGTGCCCAGGTGTGGGAGCGCACTGAGCAAGTGCCAGGACACTACATGCCAGCTGACAGCCACCACAGGCTGCCAGTTCCAAAGTACAAGGCTGCAGGGACACCCTGGTCCCGGAGCAGGGAGTGGACACTCAGGGAACGAAAAGTCAGCAGAAGTTGGAAGGGATGGTGCTGCCCCAGGCCACAGGCCACATCCCGGCTGACCCATGGGGCCACTTTTTGAGGAGTAGCTTTAGGGACACAGGCCAGCACTGAAAAACGAAAAGTCTCAGGAAATAATGGAGGCCTCTCACTCAGCAAAAGTGAGCCCAACTTCTCCCTCGTCACACTGTGTCCTCACCCCACCACAAGTGGGAACTAGAATCCACACAGCTGGGGACGCAGCGATGCCAAAACCAAGTTCCTGGGAACAGGGGCGCCCTGATGGGCTGTGCTCAGCCATGTTGGATTTGGCTTGGCAGTCAGGACAGTGCCTGGGGAGCTGAGGTCACCCTCCCAAGTCCCACCCAGTTTGGCCTCCCTCCCCTACCTCTCCACAGGGAACAAGAGCAGAGGAGGCCGGAGTCTGAATCCCAGCCCGACCCTGCCCCCATCCGGCCCACAAGCCCAGTTCCTGGCCAGCACCTAGGCAGGAGTCAAGAATGGAGCTAAGGCAATATTTTCACAGGTGAATAAAATTTCCTGTTTATTATGGAAAATGCTCACACTTTTGGTGGGAGGGAGCCACAGCGGCTGGCCAAGTACATCCACAGGTCACCTAAAAGGTCACAGCACTCATGCCTGCACCATGTCATCAAGGGCATGTGACCACATGTCTGGACACCACCACCAGGCCCACCTGGAGCTTCTTGGCCCACCGTCCCTCACTGCCCTCTGAGGCACCTCTGTGGCTTGAGACACTGGTTTCCAGAGGCATGGAGGGCCACACCACACAGCAGCAGCACCAAGTGCCTGGGGTCCCCAACAAGGGGCAAGAACAGCAGCTGAACCCTCCATTCAGGTTGGTGGTGGGTGACAAGAACAGAAACACCCACCTGTCAGGCCACCAGCAACCCCAGCATGTGCACAGAACGAGCTTGCAGGCTCTGGGGCCAGCAGAGGTTGGCTTGGGTGTCCCCAGGCCCGGATGCAGGGGTGGAGGTGAGGTTTGTCCAGTTCAGGCCCAGGTGGGAGTGACAGAGCTGACACAGAAAACACGGCCCTTGGGGTAGGCTGGAGAGAAAAGTCAACCTGCTCAGTGGGGATTTAGTGAGTAAAAGCCAGTGTCACCTCTGCTAAGGGACATGAGCCCCCGGGATAAGCTCTGGCCCCAAAGTCCTGGAACCTGGAAGAACAGACGCCAAGAGAAAGAAGCCAGTCACAGGCCACTTCAGACCCCACCTGAGGTCCCAGAACAGCCAATGCCAGGAGAAAGTGGGAGGGAGGGACCGGGGCGGGGGGGGGGGGGGGGGGAAGGGGGCAGGCAGGGTTTAGTGGAGAATTTCAATTTGGGGAGCTGAGAAGTTCTGGAGATGGACAGAGGGGCTGGCTGCACAGATGTTAATGTCCCCAACGCCACGGAGCTGCACATGAAGAAGTGGGTGAAGTGGAAAATCTTATACATTAAGAGAAAAAAGTCCTGGGAGTGGGACCTAAGGGTGAGCAGAGCTGCTCTGGACAGCCACGGCAGAGGCCCCGGCCACCTACAGCTGCCTTCCCACCTGGGCCCAGGAGAGGACGAGGGAGCTGCTCTACACACCCCTCCCTCTCCAAGCACCATCCCCTACTCAGGTGGTTCCAGCAGCTGTAGAGAGCTGCCTCACACATTCCGCAAGTTTCTAGAACGTGAAACAATGGAGGGTTTGTCTCCAACTGACTCCCGTTTCCTGCCATTCAAGCAGCATGAGCCTCAATATTCCTTGCCAAACACCCCATCACACAGGTTCCCGACTCCCACAGGACGGAGACGGCACAGCCAAGCAGCAGGGTCTCGCGATCTGGGACCCAGCAGCTTATAAGGACCAGCTCGGAAGCTCCCCACGCTCAAGTAGCACAGAGTTGAAACCAAGGCCCTCGCCCTGGGGATGCATTTACTGGAAAGAGATGAAAGCCTATACCAACAGCTGTACACCAATACTTACAGCAGCTTTAGTCAAGTTTTGAATAATAAAATACTCCAGTTTTGTCCCAAACTGGAGAAAGTTCAAGAGGTGAATGGGTCACAAATGAGAGGTCAGCCTGAGATGGGATGTAGCTTAGCAATGGAGAGGAAGCACGCCAGGGCCCGGTGTGGCTTGGTTGTGGAGCCCCGGTCTAGCATGTGGAGGTCCTGGGTTCCATCACCTGCACCTCAAATGATTTTTGTTTTTTTTTAAGGGAAAGGTTTTGGTTTTTGTTTTGGTATTGGGGGTTGAATCCACGGGTGCTTAAACCTGAGCCACAGC